TGAAGATGAGAAAGAGATGAAGAAAAACCAGAAGAAGAAGAGTTTGATGAAGACCAAAGAGGAATAAGAAGTAGAGAATAAACAAGGCTAATAAAAATTGAAAAAAAAAAGAACTGAGTGAATACGAAGATAATGAAGAAGAAGTCAAAGATAATGATGAATATGAAAGAGAAGGGTGAGGAATAAGAAAATTGAAAGATACATAAGAGGAAGAAGAATAAAAAAGTACAAGTCAAAGATGATGAAGAAGAAGAATGAAAATATGAGGAAAAGGAAGATGAAGAAAACAAAAGGTACAAGTCAAAGATGAAGAAGAAGGAAAATATGAGGAAAAATAAGATGAAGAATTTGGGGCAGCAAAATAAAGCAAAAGCCTTAAAATTAGAGACTGAAGAAGAAGACAAATAAAAACAAAAAAAAAGAATAAGAAAAATACGAAGAATAACTAAACCAAAAGATAAAAAACATGTGCAGAAGAGTACACCCAAACAAAAGAGGAAGAAAAAGAAGAAGAAGAAGAAGACAAAACAGAAGAGAGAAATGAAATAGAAGTTGTAAATGATGAAGAAGAGGAAAGAAAAGACAAGGAATAAGAAAATTGACGTTGATGATAACGAAGAAGGAAAAAAACGAAAAAAGAAGACTCGAAAAAAGAAAAAGAAAAATCATAATAAGAAAAAATATGACAAGACAAAAATATTGAAGAATAAAAAGGGGAAGTGGATGATGAATTTGGAGAAAGAGGGAGATAGGGAGAAATTAAGTTAAAGCTTTCAAGGACATGTAGATGCTTCATGGACATGTAGATGGAGAGAGAGAGAGAGAGAGAGAGAGAGAGAGAGAGAGAGAGAGTGACAGGGATAAATCGAGAGAGAAAGAGAAATGATTGAGAGAGTTAAACCTTATAGGGACATGATATTAAATCTATGTTAGTTTGTATTTTCTGTGTTTTTATTTTTTCATATTTGAAACACTTCTTACTATAAATGTAGTGATCTAAACGTATGATATATATAGTTTAGGATGAAGGGGAAAGGGAGAGAATGAGAGAGATATATTGAAAGAGAGAGAGAGAGAGGGAGAGAGAGAAACTGATAGGGAGGGATGCATGGAGGGGGGAGAGAGAGAGAGTTAAAGTTTTCCAGTACATGTATTTGATTGATATAAAAGACGAAAGAAAATAAGAAGAATATGAAGTCCGAGAGAACGAAGAAGACGAAGGTGATGAAGAAGAAGAAGAAGAATAAGTAGAATATGAAGAAGATGAGGAAAAGATGTAGAAAACAGTGAAGAAGAAGAAGATGTGATAAAAAAAAATTAAAGAATAAAAAGTAAGAAAAGACATATAAAATGGAGAGGAGAAAGACAAAAAAATAAAAGAAAATTAGAGAAACTAAAAGAAGGTCGTGAAAGAGAGAAGAAGAGATAAATATAGAAGATGATGAAGAAATATAAAGAAAAGACGATAAGACACACTAAAAGATAAAAAAAAAGAAAAAAAAAAGATTAAAAACAATTATGTGGAGATGAAGAACACGTCTTAGTTCAATTGGGCTGTGAGCTCAATTACTTATTTAGTAAATATTTTTATCTTTAATTTTGGATAATGTTTATTTTTTGGATTTGTCTTTATATTATCATATATATATATATATATATATATAGATATGTGTGTCTTAAATAGTTGTTTTAATTCTTTTCACTTTTTCATTTATAATATCAAAATCTCTAAGCCCGTACAAGGTGCGGAACAAACACCTAGTTATACCTAAGACCCAATCCTTATGAATTATATGGACCATACTTAATTACATAAATAAATGAAAGTTACATATTGGATCAATGATTTGGATTCATTTGGACATACATGTTAAATCTTATAAGATTTGAGGGATTTTAACATTTTCAACAATTTTAAGCAACTTTCACAAGATACTGTAACAACTTTTATGTGATTAGTAAAAATTTCAAAGTATTTTAAAATTTGTTTTTTTTTTTAAAAAAAAAAGAAAATTGAGATAATTTTTTAGAAAATAGATAAAATGTAATTTCAAAGACATGGACTTCGACTTCTTCAACGAATTATCAATTTAGCATACTTTTTTAAATTCTTATTTAGAAGGATGATTTGCAAGAATAACAGCTTCTCAAGAGTAAATAGGTAATTAGCAATCAAAAGTAGTCAATTCAATATATAGTCAACTCAAAAAGGGCTAGGAAATGATACTAAACTCTTTGCTCCCTTCTGTCCAACATTATTTTTTCTGACACAATACAAATATGTCTTTTCTCAAAAAAATTATAACACTAATGTCTATTTTCGACAATAGCAGCTATTACTTTTACTTTTACTATACAACTGTAACTCCATCGAGATTTATGTATGCATCTATATTATTTTGAATGATTTATTAAAACGTACATAGTCAATTAGTCTGATATATATCTAATAATCAATTACTCTAAACAAACTAAATTTGTAATTACGGGGATAAAATAGTTCATTATAAAACCATGGTAGTTAAACAAATTATGTATCAAAACTAATTAACTACTCTAGACAAACTGAGGTTGGAACAATCTGAAATAAAATCATTCATTACGTAAACACAATTATATGACCATAGTAATCAACTATATACTTTTATCGTAGTCAATTAGTCGCACAAGACTATACATGTACAGTAATCAACTACTCTAAACGAACTGAGTCTGTAACTATGAAAATAAGATAGTTGATTATATGAACATGATAGTCAAATATATTGTGTATAAAAAGTAATTAACTATGTATATGAATGTAGTAGTTAACTACATTGTGTTATATTTTGTGAGATAGTATCTACTTTCGACAACAGTAGCGATTACTTTTACTTTTACTATACAACTTTAACTCCATCAAAATTTTTGTATGCATTTATGTTATTTTGAACAATTGATTAAAACGTACATAATCAATTAGTCTGATATAATTATACATATATAGTAATCAATTACTCTAAATAAACCGAGGTTGTAATTACGAGAATAAGATAGCTGATTATAAAACCATGATAGTCAAACAAATTATGTATCAAAAGTAATCAACTACTCTAGACAAATTGAGGTTGGAACAATCTGAAATAAAGTCATCCATTACGTAAAACAGTAATCAACTATGTATATGAATGTAGTAGTTAACTACATTGTGTTATATTTTGTGAGATAGTGTCTACTTTCGACAATAGTAGCGATTGCTTTTACTTTTACTATACAACTTTAATTCCATCAAAATCTGTGTATGCATTTCTGTTATTTTGAAAAATTTATTAAAACGTACATAATCAATCAGTCTGATATAACTATACATATATAATAATCAAATACTCCAAATAAACTGAGTTTTTAATTACAAGAATAAGATAGTTGATTATAAAACCATGGTAGTCAAACAAATTATGTATCAAAAGTAATTAATTACTCTAGACAAATTGAGGTTGGAACAATCTGAAATAAAGTCATCCTTTACATAAAAAAGTAATCAACTATGTATATGAATGTAGTAGTTAACTACATAGTGATATAGGTCTTATAAATGTATGTGACTGTAGTAGTTCTTATACATGTGTGTGAATGTAGTAATTAACTATTTTATGAGATAGTTATTGTACATATGTGTGAATGTAGTAGTTAAATACTTTGTGAGATAATTCTTATCCATGTGTACAAATGTAGTAATTAACTATTTAATGAGATAATTATTGTACATGTGTGTGAATGTAGTAGTTAACTACGTTGTGATTATTGTACATTTGTGTGATTGTAATAGTTAACTATTTTGTGAGATCATTTCTATATATATATATATATATATATATATATATGAATGTAGCTGACTGTTAGATCTATGTTTTATTAAATTATTAGTTAACTATTTTGTGAGATAGATCTTATATTTGTGTATGAATGTAGTCGTCATCTATTTTTCTTATACATGTGTATGAATATAATAGTCAGCTATTGTTGTTTATTTTTAGCTATTGAGGAGATAAATGTAGAGAGAATGAAATAGAAGATAGAAAAGTTTGATAAAAAAAAAAAAGAGAGAACAATTTCTATCCTTTTTTATTTAAAAAAAAGGCTAAAAAATTATATGTATCAGAGAGATAGAAAAGAGAATGTAACAAAGTTAAGGTGTTTCCGAAAAATTAAGGCTTATCAGATAATGAAAAAGTTTTTGCTGCTATGGTATTACAAAGATGGTATAAGGTTAGTTAGTTAGGGGTGTGTTGAGTTTTTAAACATGAATAAAATACTAAAGTTTTATTTTTGCAATTTACTCTGAGGAAGCTGCTATTTCTTATAATTTCCTATTTAGAATCACATGTTCTCTTGACTAACAAGCTCGAACCAAGGCCATTTAACAGAAACAAACAAATAACCTTGAACCCTGTTATGAAAACATGAGTTGTTCTCCGTGTCCTGCCTCTACAGCTTCTCTCCACTAAAAGCAAAGTAATGATGTTCTCATTGACGTCCCTTTTTGTCGTTTTTTTTCAGCTACTGGTTTAGTTTATGGGATTGGCAAGGGCACGGGAGAATGGTTATTTCCTACCTGAGTATAGTTAGCGAGGTCCAGATCCGAACCAATATACACGACCTGTGCGAAAACATACCCACACTTAACAGAAATTTGAATTTCATACATGCATTTCAAAAAGTTGGGCCAGTTTATATCAATTGATCTTTGATATAACCTCAAAACCAGAAGTGCATAGTCACGAACATATCTCCGTAAGACATTGCTCTTTTGTCAAAGTTAGCTTTGAAGAAGTCACGAACATATCTCCGTAAGACATTGCTCTTTTGTCAAAGTTAGCTTTGAAGAAACTTTTTATAGAGTTTGTGTTTCTTCCTCTCTAGAGTCTTGATTCTTACAGAGACTTAGTGGGTTTAACTAACTTCGATGTTTGGGAAGAGCTCTTTAATACATCAGTAAGTTTCTCTTATTGTTTCCTTAGTCCTCATGGTCTATGAGTGCAGCTTTATACAACTTTCTCCTCATTTCTTCTTTCAGATCAATGAATATGAAAATACAAAGAGTCTAAACTACAAATATCTGCATTTAAGATGTATCAACCTGTTTTTCTTTTGGGTTTAAGTATAAACCTATGCTTCATAATTCTCAAGTACTTCTCTGCAGCTTCCACTTTACCACAACACCAAAGTCCCATTATAAGTGACCTAAACACCTCAAAACCAGGAGAGATCTTTCGATATTCCATCTCGTAGAACAGCTTGAGCGCGATATCGATACATTTTCCTTTCGCAAACCCTTGAATCAGATGAGTGTAAGTCTGTTCATCAGGTGTAAACCCTTTATCCACTGACTTGGTTAAGATCTCGTTTGCGCGTCTCACATTCTCAATCTTGCTCAATCTCTTCACCATCTCATTGAAAGCAGAGCAGCTAGGAAGAAGCCCTCTCGTTACCATCATCTCACAATACTTCAAGCTCTCTTCTTCTCTTCCGCATCTCGCACAACCTACGATCACAGAATCAAAAGTCTCTTCATAAGGATCGATCCCGGAGTTTTCCATCTCTGCAATCAACCGCTCTGCTTCTTCGATATCGCCCTTTTCGGTATACGCTTTGATGAAAGCCGTGTAAACGAAAGCATTTGCGTCGAAACCTCTTTGAAGCATTTCATCAAACACCTTTCGTGCAGATTCCAAATCGCCTTGTTTTGTTCTCGCGAGCACGACGAGAGAGTAACCGATCGTGTCGATGACCATGTTCTTTTGCAACAATCTCTTCAGCAAACTCATACCTTCCTCGATTCGATTCGATTCTAGAACCCTAAACACCAAGCTCGTGTTAACGATCAATGGAGGTGAGGATCTCTTACCATGAATTCTATCCAACAAAGCTACGACTTCTTTTAATTTACCTTCCTTGCACAACGCACTGATCATGATTTGAATCGTCGTCTCGTTCGGATAAATCCTCTTATCTGTCGCGAGCTCGTAGATTCTCCAAACGAGATCGATCCGGCTCGATTTTGCAGCGAAATGGAGCAACGTGTTTAAGGTAATCACACTCAGAGAGAATCCACGATCGCATAATCTGTGGAAAACATCGAATCCTGATTCTAGTAGCCTGAGCTTAGCGTAACCTTGAACTAGTAAATCAAAGACGAGAGGAGTGGAGCAAGAGACATCGTAGGTAGAGAGCAGCGAATCGAGTAAATCGGAATCGGAATCAGAGTTTAACAGAGAAGATTCGATTAGAGCTCGAGCGTCTACGAGTAATCGAGCTCTGACGAGGATGTGAATCGCGACGGCGTAAGAGGAGGTTCCGTGGCGGAGATTCCGTGTGTTAGCTGACCAGTGGAAGAAGCTTAAAGCGCGTTTGGCGGTTTCTGGTTGTTTGAAACGGAGGAGGATTTTCTTGACGAGGGAATCGGAGAAATCGATGGAAGAGTATTTGTTAGAGAGAGTGTCCCAGTTTTCGCTGTTTCGCAACGATTCTAAGATGGCGTCGATGAGAAGTAGTTGTTCTGGAACGATTTTGGAGGAGAAGGAGAAGAAGGAGAAGCCATGGGTGCATCTTGGAGGTTGTTTGGAGATCGAAACGAAGTAACACCATTGATGTGCTCCTAAGCGGCGCATGAAGTTTGGAATGTTTTATTTGGAATGGCTCGGCGAGGTGGATCGGTCCTGGTGGTGGAGATATGGGACGAGGTTTTACTCGGCGGTGACTGTGCCGTTCGTATAGCTTTCCGGTTAATTTCGGTTCCTTTTTTATCCAATTCCACTTTGGTACACCATACCAAATTCCGGATTACAATGAATCTGAGGAAAAATGTTTAACAAAGTGTTTAATAAATTTAAAAAATAGTAGTTATTTTTTTAGTTTTTAAAAAATTAAATAAAAATTCTGATTAAAAACCAAAATTTTTAGAAAAGAAAACACAGAAAATTTATATATTATATACTTTTACAGGTGATCTAATTTTATCATCTATTTTTTATTTTTAATTTTTTTAACAGATTATAAAATATCAAAATATATTCTGTATTCTGTATATCTAATTATAATATAATCTTCTCTATTAAAACAGAAGGGTGTTTCGTATCCAAACAATTTTTTAAAAAAATTTCTACTATCTAGTGGATATCTAATATTTATATGGCCAAATAAATTTTAAATTTGATTTTCGTGTTTTAATCATTTTTGTAATTAAATTTTTATTGTTTCTCTCTCTCCCGATTTTTTATTATTTTTTAAAAATAATAAATTTGAAATACATACTAAATCTTATCCACTGATATCTAATTTTAAATTTGATTTTCCTGTTTTAATTATTTTTGTAATTAAGTTTTTATTGTTTCTCTCTCTCTCTCCCGATTTTTTTTCATCATTTTAAAAAGATAATAAATTTAAAATACATACTAAACTTTATCCACCTATATCTAACAAATTTTAAATTTTATTTTCCTGTTTTCATTATTTTTATAATTAAGTTTTTATTATTTCTTTCTCCCGATTTTTCGACATAATTTTTAAAAGATAATAAATTTGAAATACATACTAAACCTTATCCACCGAACCAAATCAGCAAAGTTTTAAGTTTTTTTTTTATAATACATTTAGCATGCAATCTCACTTTTTTTTAATATACTAGATTTTGCGTCCACGTTACGCGTGAGTATTTTGTTAATAAAAATTATATGCAATCAATTATATTTATTAAGATATAAATTTTATATATTAGTGATTTAATAATATATTTAAAATATTATGGTGTTAATATAATAATTTTTATGTAAATTTTGAAGTTTTAACGGTTTTGTTTTAAATCTATATACTATATGTCATATTTCAAAAACGTATTATTTGGTCAAACATTTATAAATTAATATATATACCCAAATCAACTAAATTTTTTATAAATTAATCAAATCGTACTTATTAAACATAATATTGACATGATGATAAAATATTATACATTCACTTCTTAATTCATGAAGATAATTTTTTATTTATCATTTTCACTTTTCTTCTAATTATATATGTATTTTTGAAAAATAATAATAAAATTTAAAATTTAATCTTTTTTTCTCTTATTTAACCGATACAAATTTTTATTTTATTATATTAATTTAAAAAAATAACTAATAAATATAACAACTTTAAATTTGAAACCAAAATAATAGTTGAATATAAAATGAAGAAAATCACACAAAAATTTGTGAATTAAATATATTTTTGTCAATTGGTTGTGTAAACGTTTAAATAATTTCAATAATTATACATTATCTATTCTAATAAGAATGGTTTCGTTTTCATCATGTTCAATTTTATTCTTGCTATATCTGTTTTTTTCAATAAAGAGATCATATTTCTTTATTTCAATGATTTTTGTATGATTATATTCAGTTTTATCATATTCATTCTTACTTCTTTTAATTATAATTAAGTAAGCAGTCGGTACAATTTAATACATATAAATTTAGAAAAATGAAATAATAAATTGAACAATTCAAAACTAAAAATTTCTACGTTAATCTATTGTAATTCAAGTCAAATATACAAAATATATTTTTTTCGATCATTTTTGCATAATTATTACATGAGATTATGTGAAAATATGTTTTGCATATGTAAAAGAAAAAATAATATAAATTATAATTATTAGCTATTTAAAATTCTACATAAAAAACCTTAAAATCAAGTAACATAAACTTGTATAAGTAGCATATAGTTTTATAGATAATAAATTAAATTTATAATTTAAACAGTAATAATGAAGATTTTAATATCATGTTTTTATTTTGTTATTAGAGATTTTTTATTCTTTAATTTATTTTCTTAGTATAATTAGGAAATTTTTTTAAATTTACAATTTTGATATATACGAATAAAATTTAACTTTTAAATGCTGATGTGGATGCCTTGAAAATAATATAGCTTTAACTGTTATTCATAATAGAATATTTTTAATTAACAATTTTTTTTATATTGTTTTGTATTAACAATGTAATTTTATAATTTAGAATTTTTTTAATTTTAGTTATTGATGTACACTAATAAAATTGATATTTTAAATCTTATGTAGATGTCCTTAGAGGCATATAACTTCAATTTTTATTTTTCTATAAAGATTTGTTTTTGTTAACCATATAATTTTAAATTTTTCTAATTTTTCTAGTTTTAAATATTGATGTGGACCAATAAAATTGAACTTTTATATCATATGTGGACATTTTTAGAGGCATATAGCTTTTAATTTTTTTTTTAATAATAGATTTAGAAATCAAAGCTAGAAGATCTCACACGAGGCAAGTGATTGTGGTCTCTCCTTGTTTTAAAGCTTACTGAATATATTCGCATGCTGCTTGGTCAGCTAATTGTTACCTTTTTGGTTAACGTTAGGTTGTTAAAACACCATCAGATGCCATGTTATTTCAAAAATCTTCCTCGGATACCTCAATCTTCGGCTTAATGACAGAACTTCTTTCTCTATTTTCAGTGCTTCGTTTTTCAAAAGTGTCATGGCTTTGGTCTCACTTCCTTGTTTTGAGGCTTACCGAATGTATTTGGATGTTGCTTGGTCACTAATTGTTACCTTTGTTGTTAATATTAGGTTGATAATTAAAACCGTATCAGATGCCATGTTATTTCAATAATCTTCCTCAAATACCTCAATCTCCTTCGTCTTAATGATGAAACCTCTTTCTCTATTTTCAGTGTTTTGTTTTTTAAAAATGTCGAGTATCAATCACTTGACATGTTTCTCGGACTGCTTGAAATTTATCATTCTTCTCAAATTCGGTGGCCAAGCTTTGGAGATTTTTGGGTCTTTTTCGATATTAAAACGGCTTGTAATGCCTTTGTTTATATCTCGTTTCATTATAATCTTTGTAATTTAGCTAATAGTTAAATTTATAGTTTAGCCAAGTTGGTTCTTTTACTGTAATGACTCCTTTTTTTGTCAAACCTAACTCTATTTTTTTTTTTTTTTTTTTATTTGAAATGGTTGCACACACAGAAAAAAAACTTAAAAATTATTATAGTTATGTGACAAAAATTTGGATACTAATGTAAGAGTCTCTAAATATGTGTGTATACATCTAATTTAAATTTAAAATTTTATATTTTAATACGATTTATTTTAGTTTTTTATTATTAACAAAAATTTAATATATAATTTCTTTATCTTTAATAATTTTGAAAAATAATAATGGAATTTGAAAAAAAAAATTAATTTTCAATGTTAAGGTGGACCAATACAAAATTTATATATAATTTTTTTATTCGGCAATAATTAGAATTTGTAAACTTTCTAAATTTCCTTATTCAGCAATAATATAAGCATTTGTAAAGTTTCCTGATTTTGAATATTGATGTGGACCAATAAAATTACCTTTTAAAATCCTATATGGACACCATCTAAAGAATTTCTTTCTCTATTTTGAATGTTTTGTTTTTCAAAAGTATCATGATATTAGTCTCTTCTCCTTGTTTTGAGGCTTACCGAATGTTTTCAGATGTTGTTTGGTCAGTTAATTGTTACCTTTGTGGTTAAGGTTATGTTGTTAAAACCCCATCAAATGTCATGTTATTTCAAAAATCTTCCTTGGATACCTCAGTCTCCTTCGTCTTAATGACATAACCTCTTTCTCTATTTTCAGTGCTTCGTTTTTCAAAAGTGTCAAGTATCAATCACTTAACATGTTTCTCGGATTGTTTAGAATTTATCATTTTTCTTAAATTTGGTGGTCAAGCTTTGGAGATTTTATGGTTTCTTATTTTAATATTATTTATTTTAAGGTTTTTATTATTAATAAAAAATTTATGTATAATTTCTTTATCTTTAATAATTTTTAAAAACAATAATAGAATTTGGAAACTTTTTAATTTTCAATGTCGAGGTGGACCAATCAAAAATTTATACAAAATTCTTTTATTTAGCAATAATATTAGAATTTATAAACTTTCTTAATTTTCTTATTCAGTAATAATATTAAAAATTTGTAAATTTTCCTTATTTTTGAATTTTGAATGCTGATGTGTACCAATAAAATTACTCTTTTAAATCCTATGTGGACACTCTTAGAAACATATAACTTTAACTTTTATTAGTATATATATATATAAAAAGATATAAGATAAGAAGATTTAGCATGCAATCTCAACAAATCATGCAATCTCTGCAGTTATTTTAGACGTCTGCATATTTCAGTTTTGTTTCAGAGATTTCAATTTCATATTATTAAAGTTGAATTATTACAGAATATTCCTCTACGTCTGGCATATTCTGTGTCAATCCTTCTTCAGATAATATCTTAATTAACTAATCAATAATAACATTTTGATTATTCTAGATTATCGATAACCTACGTCTATAAAATAGAAACTCAATTAACAATTCTATTACTCAGCACCACCAACTCATTCTAACGTGTTTGTGAAAAAAATATTCATTCACTTGTCTTAAAGATGTGAAGCCTTACAAAACGACTTGGCGAATCCACATAAAAGTATTGCATTCCTGGAAGCAATATACATCACATGCTGGAGAATCATTAGAGTTAGTATTAGCAGGTGAAACTGTAAGTCATTTTTGCAATTTCAATATCAGTATATATGTAATTTCTGCTAATATTTTTCTCTTATACTTTTAAAAGCAACTCTTAATCTATTTTTATAGGATGTTAAAATCCATGTTTCATATAAAAAAACTTGGATTTTACGTCTTGAAAAACAACTTAGTGTTGGAGAGTGGAAAATTCTTGAAAAATTCTTTTTATCTCCTGCAAATGGCAACTTCCGTCTAACTAGCCATGTCTACACAATCTTTGTTAAAATCAGATGACTTTTTCTTTTTGTCATTGACCAGTTTTGAGCATATCACAAGTAATAATCTCAAAACTCAATACTTGATTGGTAAGTTCATATTTAGCACTCTACTACATGATTTCATGTTTTGTTTTTCTATATAATTACAAAAATTTCTGAATTTTATTCTGGAATATCAAATATTTTAAAAGATATTATTTACAAAATTAAATGGTTTTAATATCATGAAAGATTGAAATGAATATATGTCTCGAGGAATTTTTTATCGTATACTAAGAAAATAAAATATCATAGAATAATGTTTATTAAATTTATTATTTTATTTCTCCAAATATTTTAAAATTTCGAATTGAATTTTGTTTTGAAACAAAACTTGAAACATTTTCTATACATTTATTTTATACTATTATTAGACAGTGTATAGTATACATAGAGAAATTGAAATGCAAATATCTACTAATTTACGTGTGTTATAATGTTGAACATAATCAAATTAGTTTACTAACATAATTTTGTTTTAAATTTTATTTTTATAAACTAAAAAAAAATCAACATAAAACACATAAATAAACATGTAAATATATAACAAAAAATATAAATACATAATAAAAATAAAAGATATTACAAATACTTGCTCTACAAACACAAAAAAAATCTTTAACTTATATTACAAAATTTAAATTTAAAAAAATCTATACATTTCAACACCCGAATATAATTGAAATTATATTATAAAAAAATGTTATAAAATAAAGAAATAATTTCCGTGCAGACGCACAGGTTAGAATCTAGTTATTTTTAAATTCAGAAAAAACTATCTAGAGAAATGACAGGTTGTATTCAGTTCAGTTTTTTTTTTTGTTAAAGGGTCTTCAGATTAAAATATATATATATATATATTTTTTTTGGCTTACATCACTTACACTAAAACAAGAAATAATTTAGAAGGGCAAAACTGTAAAAACCCGACAGAGACAGAAAACCTTAATCTTCTTGTGACGAGCCACCATCAATGAAGCATACTGGAAAGATCTGGACCGCCGATTTGAGAAAATACAGTTGGATGACGAAAACATCCACCGCATGGAGAAAGACAAAGCCCACCAAGACGCGCCGCCACTTTAGAACTCACGAGAAAGCGTTGGAGCGCGATTTGCAGAGCGGAGGAACCAGATGTGGTTCATGCCCCGCCGTGATTCCCTTCAGACCCACCACCAACGGGTTTACTGATTCAGACTGGATATACTCCTAGTTTCTACTGCAATAGAACAGTGATGTAGTTGTAATATAAAGGATTCGAAATCCAGAAGACCAGTGTTACTCTATGAATTTGTGAGGATTGAATTAAAGCTAAGACGAAAGATGGTTTGTTTTGAAAACTAAAAAGTAAACAGAATGGCAAACAACGATTTAAATTCAAATTAAAACAAGCACTAGACCAAAGCAATTCGCAGGAATTTCAGAGATAAGAACCAGATGACTATTCAGGGCACAAGTGTAACGCAAGTCTCGAACTCAAACAGAAAAGCTTATCGATCCACTGTCGTGATCTCGATAACTTTGTCTAACAACCTAAATCCTAAACTGTCGTTTGAACCTAGAAAATTGCAGACAAGCATTAGCTAGCAGGTTTGATCTGTTCACAATTTGCCTTTACTTCAACTGTCGTTGGCTAAGGACAAATCGCTCACCAATGTTTATTCTAGCAACCTATTACACTTTTGATGAACAGATTAACCTAAAATCGCAGATTGAGTGATCAATTCAACCTAAGCATTAAGTCTAACAATGGTGAAGACAATAGATATCAAGCCCTATTTGCATCTAATCCTCTAACTCATCAAATCCTTTGAACGCTTTAATCTAGCTAAGAGATCTACTCAGACATGGAGAAAAGAAACACAGAAGCAGATGGAAAGGAATTCATGAATTAAAATCGCAGAAGAGATAATAGGGTTCAGAATTCTTCTCAAAGTGTAGCAGATTTCTTCTCCCAAAAGCTTACAAGTAAAAACTCTATGGTTCAGGCAATTGTAAAAAGAAAGCGTAGAAGTAAAGATAGGCGGCTTGGACTCCTTTTATTCCTTTCACGCGGCTTGAGATTAGGTAAAGATGTTTTCCTTATTTTTCTCCCGTCTGGAGCAGGTGCTCCACGAAGGGTCCAAACCGGGAGCAGGTGCTCCGGGGATGATTTCTCCAAAAACGTGTGAAATAGCTCCTTATTGCTCAAATTCATCTCTTTTTGCTCCAATGCCTCCTAAACACTCCAATCCTTTGATAAGGCCTCTAAGTCACCTGAAACTTCCTGAAAAGACTCCAAAAACTCCTAAAAAAATTAGTAAACACAAGTTAGAATGAGTCAAAATCTCCACTCATCATTTACTGACCAATCAACGGCGGTACCTGATGCCTCCAACTCACCTCCTCCGAGAAGCGCTATCAAAACCTGCCGGCGTCCTCAAAAGGGCGAGCTTTACACAACGCTCCTCAACGCACTGCCGCAGAGCACGGCTTAAACTCCAGGCGTCAATGTGGAGGCTTGAACCTCCACCTTTACGCCGGGAGACCGATCAGACAAACCAACACGGCGGAGCCTCTGAGGGGTATCAACGACAAGCCGATGACGAGCAGAAACCGGGCCGTAGTCCTCGATAAAACCGGCTCTGCGAGGGCTGTCGACAACCACCAGCGGTAACTCCGAGATGCGCCGATAACCGACAGAGACCACCGACACAGCAAACAGATCTGAGAGAGAAAGCAAACCGCAGAGAGAGACACCAGGCAAAAGAAAAAGAGAGAAGAGAGGGCCCTCACACGGCTCCGGCGAGGTGCGCCGATAACCGGAGAGGGCAAACGGATAAAGCGAGGGAGGAGACCGGCGGCTAGGGGAGTCGAGAGAGAAAATCCCCTCAAAGGCAAAATTTGAAATACTTTTCTATTCAGTTCAGTTTAAAAATAATTATGGTCAGTCTTTGATTGAACTTTAAATTCTTGCTCTTATTTTCAACGTGTCCCTACTTAGTTGACTCACAAGTCAAGAAGACTCTTATCATTGTGTGAATAAATAATTGCTAAGCTATCCTCTCAACTTGCGGTCATTCGAACATGGATAGCTGCAAGAAGAACATGCTCTTTGTATCCACCTACGGATTCTTGACGATGTTCATGTCTCTCCAAGTTTCTTCTTCAACTGGCACAATCTCTAACTTAAGTTATCTTTCAATGTTCGATACCATTGTTTCTAGTGGTGGTGTCTTCGAACTCGGTTTCTTTTCATGAGGTAATTCTAATTTGTACAACTTAGGCATTTGGTACAAGAAAGTGCATCCAGTGACAGTGGTTTGGGTGGCGAATCGAGCATCTTCTGCCCCATATAGTGATGGTGTCATCTTAGAGATCTTAGATGGAAACTTCATGCTTCATAATGAAAAGGAAATATTTTGGTCGACTAGAGTTTTTTTTTAAAGTGGCTCATATGTTGAAGCCTATTTGCTTCATAGTGGTAATCTAGTGCTGAGAGATGGGCCTAATTCATCCGCCAATGTGTCGTGGCAGAGTTTTGATGATATCTCGGATACTTGGCTTCCTGGTGCTAAAATACTCCAGTGGAGCAACTACATAAGAGGAAGCAATTGTCTCACTTCTTGGAACACCTTGGAAGATCCATCACCTGGTCGTTACTCTCTTGAGTTTGACAATATTAATAGAGACTCTCTCGTCATGGTTTCAAATGGATCTAAATCATACTGGTCGAGTGGGGCATTGGATGATCAACTTAGCCTATTCAAGCAATCTACAGAAATGAGTTTCAATCGTAGCTTGAGCTTTGAATTAAATGTGACTGAGTCGTCCATCACATATTCAGTACGTAGCCAAAACCCATTTCGTTTGGTTATGGATTTTTCAGGACGGCTAAGGGCGTACACTTGGGTTGAGAAGTACAAAAGGTGGAATTCTCCTTGTACTGTACCTAGCCATATATGTAAGGCTAATCGTTTATGTGGGTCGTTTGGGATCTGCAACGAGCATTCAAATTCAACCTGCGAATGTATTCCTATCCCAAGACGAACAGACTCTAATGATACATCTGGTAGATGTGTAAGCGAAACCTATTTAACCAAATGTGGCAAAGGAAATGACAAGTTTCTTCCTCTTCGGAACATGAAACTAGCCACTTATCCAGAAGAAAGGGTTTTGACAAAAACCTTTCCAACTACATGTGACTCAGCTTGCCTAGCTGATTGTAGTTGCAAGGCCTATGCGTATGATGGGAACAAGTGCTTGATTTGGGAAGGAGATATCTTCAATCTCCAACAACTTGATGCAAGTAACAGCGAGGAAAGACGTTTTATGTCAGATTTAATAATGACACTGAAATTGTGAATTCGAGGAATGCATCAAGGGCAAAACATCGTAAAGTAGAGATGTCAACATGGGCCACAACCCCCGGGTCAGGTCCATGTAGGTCCGCTGTGGGGCGGGCCTGGACACATAATTGAGTGTCCATAATTTTGCAGGTTTAGTGGTTGTACCCGTCACTGGTTACGGGTTTATTGGACTAACCCGTCACGGTTTTGCGGGTAACCCGCAAAAGATGAAGTGTTTTTTCACAAAACAAAGTTTTCTGCACTAAATCGGTCAAAAGAAGCTGGTGATGTCACGACCACAGAGCTCTGCTACCATGAAATGGTAAAACGAAGATTCAAACCTAATTCAGTCACTTACGGCAACAGAATTGATGGGTTCTGCAAAAAACAAAACTTTTGCGAAACCTTGAGGCTCTTTGAAGAAATGGATCGTGATAAGGTTACACCATGAACTTCATATTTAGTATTGTAAACATTTCATTGAATCAACACTGTCTTAAGGTGGATTCTTACACCATGAATTTCAATTAATTTGTCTGTTTCATCATCATCAACTTTTGGATTTACCAAATTCAATTAAACTTTGAAGAACTCACTAGTCAGCTAAAGAGGGTATCAATTTGGCTTCCTATGAGGTATGGTAACTCTAAATTACAAAGTGGTGAAGTTTCATAACATTGTTTTTTTTCCAAACCGGCAAAACTTCACAACGTTAACTTCTTGTGGTTTTTATTTTTCCTTCTTCCATTAGAACCATTATTTGTATAATTTTTTTGGGTTAAAACTTGTATATTTGCTTTTTTTTTTAATTTGTATATTTGTTGAATCTGTATAATTTGAGAAGAACTAGACCTACAGAAATAACAAAAACATCGAATTAAAATCTAAGTTTCTGTATCAAAATGTAGCATCGAACATCATAATATATATATGTTTTGGTTTATTCTCGACCCATGGGTTGACCCGCTGACCCGTAGATAATGCAGAGCGAGCTTGGATATAAATTTCTCGTCCGCAATTCATGGCGGGTTGGCCCCATCGCAGTTCGCCAAAAAAAATGCAACGGGTTGGGCTACTTGGACACGGGTCGGCCCGTCTAAAATCGTAAAGTCAGAAACATTGTGCTACCCGTTTTACTAACACTAGTAGCAGCTGCTGCGATTTCTATTAGTTGGTATTGTTACTTTTCATCTATACAGAGAGGCAAAAGAGCACCAAAAGGTGAGATTGGTATTTTTCATGAGGTTTTTACGAGATTTGTTATTAAGTTTTTGAAAGGCTATTTTTTTTGGGCAGACAAAAAGCAGAGCAATGAGATACCGGAAGAAGGCATAATTGATGATGGGGAACACATGTTTTACCTAAATTTACATGATATAATGGCTGCAACGAATAATTTTTCAGAGGAAAACAAGTTAGGAGAAGGTGGTTTTGGTCCGGTCTATAAGGTAATAAACACATGATAAGTAAAATATATGTAAAACTTCCTTCCCATTTGGCCAGTCCAAATGTTGTTTTTGTTTAGATTTTATTTAAAAATCGGATGATTGGGCTACTCGTTGACTACACTCACTTTGGGGAATTAGGCGGGTGGTAAAAGTCTTATTACGCCTTAGTTATCAAAAAAGAAATTGTAAGATGGTAAGTATTTTTGTTTTTACCTCTTAGAGAAATCTACCTAATGGCATTGATGTGGCGATCAAAAGGTTGTCAAAAAAGTCAAGCCTGGGTTTGATAGAGTTCAAGAACGAAGTGGTTTTTATCATAAAACTTCAACACAATAACCTTGTGAGGCTTTTAGGATATTGCGTGGAAGGAGACGAAAAACTCCTTATCTACGAGTATATGTCCAATACAGAGCCTTTAAGCTTAACTTTTTTTTTTTTTTTTTTTTGAATTGAATGTAAAATTATATTCAACCAAAAACCTGTTTTACAACTAATGCATCTTTGCTTTGAAAGCTTTTAAATAAAATTACAAAATTTCATGTTCTTGTCTCGAACCAGATCTGGAGAGCTTGGTCGAAACGTCTATCTCCCATAGACCGGATCAGCGAGAGCCGGTTTCGCACTTGCTTGTCGATGAATTTGGTAAGAGCTGCAGATGGGAGAGGTCGTTTCTCTCTTTCCAGATGCTATGTATGGTCGCCTGGAAGACATACCTAGCCAGGAAGAGGCGGACACGGTCGAAGATTGCAGATGAGGTGATAGCGACAATGGAATGCCAATCTGTTGAAAAGTGAGAGTGAAGGAGGCCTTTAGACAACTCAGTCCATACTTCTGTAGAGTAGCTGCATGAGAAAAATAGATGGTCCCTTGATTCAGTAAGAGAATGGCAGAGGACACATGCAGTGTTGACTCCCGTGTTCCACATCACCATGCGATCTGTGGTGGAGAGGCGATCGTGACTTGCCAGCCAAGTCAGGAAGGAGTATTTAGGCGTGGAGTAAGGGAACCACACGCTTTTATACCACAAGACTTCAGGGCCAGGATTCCGAATCAAACTCCTAGTACGCTTAGTATTGAAAACCCGTTTGAAAGTGTCATCCTTCCATCTCCAGAGGGGCGTGTCCTCAGCAGCGTTATTCTGACTAATCCGATGTGTGTCAAGCAGATTTTCAATATCATTGAGATAATCCACTCGATGACGCCGCCGACGACGACTAAGCGCATGAGCCACCGTAGAGTGCATTGGAATACCAAGATCAATGAAACCTCGAGTCCCAGTTATATCAATAAGCCGACCCATTGGTGACCAAACATCATACCAGAATGATGTTTTCAACCCATTACCCACCGTGACCCTGAAAAACCCTAGAGCTTTGTCTCTCATTTTCAGTACTTTCTTCCACATCCAGGATCCCATGCTCGTAGTAGAGCTAACCGACCAGAACGAACCTTGACGGATCAGGTATGTCTTGATCCAATTAACCCATATCGACTGGTGAGAAGAGGCGATTCTCCAAACCAGCTTAAGACAACAGATCATGTTTACTTTTTTCAGTGGCCTAATACCAAGACCTCCTTCAGCTTTTAGACGAGATACATCCTGCCAAGCGATCTTGGCCTTGCGTGAATTTAACGTGGGACCTGACCACAAAAATGCCGAGCACAGCCTCTCAATATCACGAATACACTCAGAGGGAAGCCGGAATGCAGCCAGCCAAAAGTTTGTCAAAGTGAGAATGACCGATTGAATTAGCTGAAGACGTCCTGCGTAAGAAAGGGCACGAGTCGTCCAAGAGCTGATCCTTTTCCTGATGCTTTCTAATAACGGGAGATAGTCATTCGAAGACATTCGCTTCGTCAACAAAGGTAGGCCTAGGTATCTAACTGGTAGCTCCCCTACGCCAATTAGAAACCTCGCCGTAATGCTCTGCCGTACAGGATCAGTGACACCCGCAAGATAGATCGTGGATTTCTCCAAACTCATTTTAAGACCCGAGATACATGCGAACTCATCAAAAACTCTGACAATACCCTCTATTGATCGAACCTTTCCATCAGAGAAAACCATAATATCATCAGCAAAGCTTAGGTGCGTGATGCCTAGATTTTTGTACTTCGGATGAAAACCAAACTCATTCGCACTAGCTGCCCGATCAAGAAGCTTTGCGAGAACATTCATGCTGATAACAAATAAATAAGGAGAGAGGGCACATCCCTGACGCAATCCACGTTTACTCTGGAAAAAACCAGCAAGCTCCCCATTTACTTGTACTGAGAAAGTTGCAGTTGTCACACAAAGTTGAATCCAATGAATGAACTTCGGAGGCAAATTCATCGCTGCAAGAGTATTCATCAGAAACGACCACTGGACAGAGTCAAACGCTTTAGAGATATCAATTTTTATTGCACACCGCGAAGAGACAGAATCCTTGTGATAATCCTTCACCAACTCTGTTGCTAGGAGCAAATTCTCAATCAGAAGTCTGTCCTTGATGAATGCAGACTGATTCAAAGAGATGAGCTCAGGCAGGATTCCTTTAAACCTGTTTGCAATAATTTTTGATATTACTTTGTATAACACGTTACAAAAGGAAATGGGCCTGTAGTTGCGCATCTCCTTTGCCTCTGTTTTCTTCTGAATAAGGGCTAATATCGTAGTATTGACCCCCTTTGGTAAAAACCCTTTCACAAAGAACGATTGAACTGCAATTACGAACTCTGAACCCACCACAGTCCACGCTTTATTGAAGAATTCGGTGGTGAACCCATCAGGTCCTGGCGACTTATCACTTAGCATTTAGAACAGAACACCTCTGATTTCCTCTTCTGTGACCTCTCGCTGAAGAGCAGCATGATGCGTCTCTGAACATTGAGGCAAAAGTGGCTTGAGCGCCTCAACAGATATACCCTCGAAGTTATCTGGAGAGTGTTGGAGAAACTCTCGGAAAAAATCCTCAGCCTCCTTTTTAATATCATCATTACTAGAAACAACAGTACCACCGCGGCATTGAATCTCTCTGATCGTATTTTGGCTTTCTCTTGCAGCCACTCCTTTGTGAAAAGATTTATTATTTCCATCACCAATCTTGAGCCAATGCATCTTTGATTTTTGCTTTAGATATTTCTCCTCCAAACTTGAGACAAACTCCCATTGACGATAAGCTTCATTCTCATCTTCCATAGCTTGCACACTAGGACGTATCAAATTAGCTTCCTGTTTGGCACACAGCACCTCGTAGGCTTCTTTTGATCGCTTGACTAAGTTTCCCAATCTGTCCTTGGCCAGAGAGCAGATAAAGGGCTTTAAACCCTTGAGTTTCTTAGCAAAACGGAACAATGAAGAAGTAGAGAGAAATATTGACTCTGTCTCACTCCAGTAGCTGCCTACCATCGGAAGAAAAGCATCAAGATCTGCAATCACATTCACAAATTTAAAAGGCTTACGGTTAGTAGTGGCTTCAGACCCCAGGTGAACGCGACACCTTGCATGATCCGAACAACCCCCAGCTTCGAAGACATTATATGAAAGAGGGAAAACTTGCAACCAATGCTCATTCATCAGCACTCGATCTAATTTCTTTAGCACTAAATCCTGCTCTCGCTTATTACACCAAGTAAACACTGAACCATGGGACGGTAAGTCTGTTAAAGAACAGTCCTTCACAAGCTCCTGGAAGTCTCTCATTCCCACAGTAATGTGTGGAGAATTTTCGAAACCTGAGTGCTCATCACCATCGAATATCATTAAAATCCCCTAATATTATCCATGGCTTGTTCCGAAAGATTGGGGAATTGTGATGATCCTGTAGATCACCCCACAGGGTTCTACGCTCCACCATGAAGTTTGAAGCGTACGCGAACGTGGAAAAAAATTCTTCATCTCTATCTGCCAGCTTGATAGAGCACGTAATAAACTGATCATTTTTGAAAAAGGAGTTAACCGGACATCCTTCCTCCATACCAGCCAGATTCGTCCAAGACGTTGATATTCATAATTGGTCATAAGAGACCAATCACCAAATATCAAAGCCGCAAGTTTCTGAGATTTCGTTTCATTGACCCTTGTCTCCAACAAAGCACCAAACTGAAAAGACATATTCCGAACCCAATCCTTAATAACTGAATGTTTATTGGTTTTGTTCAGACCCCGAATATTCCACACAAAGAAATTCGACATAAATTATTGTTTGTTTTGCGCACTCCTTCTTCCCAAGGCACTCGGGAGCTGTTCCTTTGTGGCTTGAGCATTAGGTTCTGAGATAGACTTGGTAGAATTCTTTTTTCCTTTAGGCACAGGTGGACGTTTGTCGTCGTGACCTTTCACCAGGCTAACCTGATTTGAACCTTCCTCTTTTCCATCGTTCATCTTGCTCGATAACCCCTCTGAGATCTCTGCAATCTCCCCCTCTTCAACTTCTGCAACTTCTGCATCAGAGGGCTGATCGGAAGTATCCCCAAGATTATCCAAAATGTTGAATCTCGAAGGAGAGACCTCAATTGAATCGGCGCTTACTTTTTTCCCATTCTGTCTTCCAACTTTCGCTGGTGATACTGTGCACCATGAGGTGCCTTCGTCGACCTCTGTTACCGTTGTTTCCACCACTTTTTCCTGAATTGTATCAGGTTTACTGCCTCTTGATACTCCAACAGACTCTGAACAAGTAACTGGATTTGCTACTTCACTAGTGCCATTAAAACCTCCCTGCACGACTTCAGATTCAACCCTCTTAGGCTCTGTATTACATATTGTAGCCTTCGCCATCTGTAGTTTTGAAACATCCTGCAGATCCTCTGCACCTCGCCTAAGCAGTCTCACTTGTCCTCCCTTAACTAGGCAAGCTTCGAGAGCATGACCCCACTTTGAACACTTTGAGCATCGCGGTGGAAGCCATGGATAGTGAAATTCGACCAATGAGTCCACTCCTTTCTCTGATGTAAATCGGTATGAGTCCGGCAACTCCTTTGACAGATCAGCTTCCACAAGAATCCTGGCTTCCTCGAAACTTTTGCAAAGCTCAGTATCAGGATGGAGCTTCTTAGGGACCCCCACAGCACTTGACAAGAAGCTCAATCCCTTCCAGTGAAACATCTTATGTGGAACGTTTTTAAGGACGACCCACATCGGCACAGATTGAAGCTCCGGTTGCGCCTCTTCAGTCACCGGAGACCACTTCGACACAATCATTGGGACATCGGCTATATTCCACATACCCCTACGAAGAACCCGATCCCTTGCAAAGATATTCCGAATTCGAAACTTTATCGTAGTTGTGTTCACCACAAAGGCATCAATCTTTGATGACTTGTCCCCCAAGGACCAGTTCTTATTCACGATGACGTGCACTTTTGCGATGTGCGGTGCAGTAGCTAGAAACTTTTCGACGATGAGGTCCTCCCACAAAGGAGATGACCCTTTAATAATATCATCAGGTATCACCACTGTTGGAGTTCCATCAACTTCCGTAACCCTGAGTTCATGATGGTAGAGAAGCGACTTGTTTTGAACGATGGCAGAGTATAGTTGCTTAGGTTGGGAGTTCTGAGAGTCTCCCTGAGTTTGCTGAGATTGGTCGATGTTTTCCTGATCGATTTGGGTAGAAAACGGCGGTGGATCCTCGCCGGAGGCCATGGTGCACGGCTGAAGAAACAGAAACCCTAATCGCCAATATGATCGCCCTTGCCACGTCAGCAGAGAGAAGAATCCCAATATATTCTCGTTGCTACTTATAATGCTTTACTTTTTGGTAAGTGATGAGATATTTCTTCAAAACTGTTAAATTGTGAATTTGAAACCCTTTGTTATATACTATTGAAACTCTTCATCAATGTCTTCTTTCTTTTTGTTTGGGGCATGCATATAGATCCACTTAAATCCAAGTATATGGATTGGGAGAAGCGTATGAAAATAGTAATTGGGACTACAAAAGGTCTTCAATATCTGCATGAAGACTCTCGTCTAAAGATCATCCATCGAGATCTTAAGGCAAGCAACATTCTTCTTGACGATGAGATGAATCCCAAGATTTCAAACCGCAAGGATCTTTGGTTGCAAACAGATCGATGACAGCTCCGAAAGAATTGTCGGGACATTGTAAGTATACAATCCAAATGCTTTTTGGCTGTTTCAAACACTGAAAATTTCTGATTGTGCATGGATTTTACATGTTTAAATGCCGTTTTAGATTTAAAATTTATCATTTTTGTCTTTACTTTTATCAAACATCGTTTGCAAATTGTTAACAGCCAACGGTATTTTTGTTTTCCCTTTGCTTTACAATTTTCAATTGATGTTAATTAAACTAAAAATTTGTGCTTTTGACATCTAAAAAGGAATATTCTAACATTTGAACGAAGTCACAACAAAATTTAAACAATAATGGCTTCTTTGATAATATCAAGTTCCTATGATTTACTTTTGTTACAATGGTTGAATATAGCGGCTATATGTCACCGGAATATGCGTTAGGCGGAATGATTTCGGAGAAATCAGATATATTTAGCTTTGGAGTACTGTTAATAGAGATCGTATCAGGCAAAAAGGCGACCAGGTTTCTTTATAACGACCAAAAACACAGAATTATTACTTATGTGAGTGTGTTTAATTATAGATTGATATCATTCATCTATTATCTTAATCAAATACTCATGAAAGTATAAAGTATGCTATTAATCTTTTTCAGGCATGGGAATCTTGGTGTGAGACAAAAGGTATAAGCATTGTAGATGAAGCATTAGGTGATTCGTATCCTTTAAAAGAAGTGATGCGGTGCGTTCACATCGCGCTTCTTTGCGTTCATTATCATCCAAAAGACAGGCCGACGATTTCGAAAATTGTGTATATGTTGAGCAACGATCACGATCTCCCAATTCCAATTCAGCCAACGTTCACAAACGTGCTGAACAGCAATCAACGGTTAGTGCCGTCTGATTATGTGTTCTCTATTAACGAAGCAACACAATCAACAATGGAAGGACGATGAACTAGTCATGCACAACACTTTAGTAATTGCTACTAATGAAAAAAAAAAGAATGACTACATATTCATTTGTCAAGGGACTGTATTAATATGGAGATATTAAACTTTTTTTATATAATCCAGTTAAATAATTTTTGTTTTATATAATCCAGTTAAATGTATTTTTGTATTTGGATTAAAGTAAGTGAATTCTTTTTAAATTTTTATCAATAAAATTTATGTTTTATTTTTTTAATGTTCTTGTCTTAATCTTTATAATGAAATAATTATATTTTTATAAATAAAATGCATTTTTTTTAAAAACCCAAAAAGTTTCTAGCAATGTATATCCAAAATAAATGGGTCTCTTATATAGGTCTCTAATCCAACTTTATTATTAAAAAACTAACCCTAATGAGTCTCAGTTCATGGTCTACATTTCGCCATCCTTGCGCCTATATAATTTGAAGCACATGCAGGAGCAGGAATCCGATTGCTTCCGCCTATAATGGTGTGTTGACCTGATAATATTATATGTTGCCCTTTATAATCTCTTAAGATCCATCCCACTCCTGTCGATTTTCCTTTGACATTAAACCTATTATCAAAGTTGCATTTCAACCATTCTTGTGGAGGTGGTTCCCATTTACTGCTCCTCATTTCTCCATTCCTTTGAGAATCTTCATTAAAAGCCTAGTTATAATATAATTAATTTAAATTAAGAAAAAAATATCGAGAAAAAATGACAAGGGTTGTATTCACTATTCAGTTCAACTTTGAAATAATTATGGTCAGTCTTTGATTGAACTTTAAATTCTTGTTCTTACTTTTCAACGTGTCCCTACTTAGTTGACTCACAAGTCAAGAATACACTTCTCATTGTGTGATCAAATAATTGCTAAGCAAACCCTTCGTAACTTGTGGTCATTCGAACATGGACAGCTGTTAGAAGAAAATGTTCTTCATCATATCCACCTACGGATTCTTGACGATGTTCATGTCTCTCCAAGTTTCTTCTTCAACTAACACAATCTCTAATTTAAATTATCTTTCAATATTCGATACCAGTTATTTCTAATTTGTACTACTTAGGCATATGGTACAAGCAAGTGCATCCACGGACACTAGTTTGGGTGGCGAATCGAGTGTTGAGAGATAGGCCTAATTCATCGGCCAACGTGTTGTGGCAGAGTTTTGACAATCTCTCAGATACTTGGCTTCCTGGTGCTATAATGCAACTTATAAAGTATCGCATTTTGCATTTTAACAACGAAACGTACAAGACGATGAAGTTGACGAAGTCAAGAAAAGATTCAATTCACAGTATTACACTTACGTAACTTGTTTGACTTTTCCCCAAGAAAAGAAGTAAAGAAACGAACCACATAAAATCAAATCTTCGTTGTATCTTCTTTCTAATTTTCCAATTCGCCATTGACAAACCAAACCTCACGAGTCATGACCAAAGACTTAAAAGATTTGTAGTTTTAAAAAAAAACCAAAAGACTATTCATATGATCTCTCTCCATCTCGTTCTTTCCTCTAAGCTTTTCCCATGGTTTCGTTCTTCTTCACCTTCTCTTCTCTCTTCTTCCTCTGCATCCATGTTTCTTCCGCCGTCGACACAATATCGGCCGACTTTACTCTCTCCGGAGACCAGACAGTCGTCTCCTCCGGCGAAACTTTCGAAATGGGTTTCTTCGAAACACCTCTTCAAATTTCTACATAGGTATGTGGTATAAGCAACTCCCTCAACGAACCGTCCTCTGGGTAGCTAATCGAGACAAACCAGTCACCGACAAGAACACATCGGTTCTCAAAATCTCCGACGGGAACTTAGTACTACTCGACGGCAAAAACCAGACTCCGGTTTGGTCTACCGGTCTCAATCCCACAAAATCTTCCTCTGTTCTCAAAGCGGTGTTGTTCGACGACGTAAAATCTCGTTCTCAGAGACGAATCGGGCTCTGTTCTATGGCAAAGCTTTGATCATCCGAGTAACACGTTGCTTCCCGGAGCCAAAATCGGTTTAGACAAACGAACCGGAAAGAGACAACGACTCACCTCGTGGAAGAATGTTGATGACCCATCACCAGGTTTGTTCTCTCTCGAGCTAGATGATTCCACAGCTTACAAGATCCTCTGGAACGGTTCGACTCAGTACTGGTCAAGTGGTCCTTGGAACCCTCAGAGCAATCTCAATGAATCGATCCCTGAAATGAGACTCAATTACATCTACAACTTCAGCTTTTTCTCTAACTCGACAGAGTCGTACTTCACTTACTCAATCTACAACCACGCGAATATCTCACGGTTCGCCATAGACGTATCGGGACAGATCAAGCAGTTCACTTGGTTAACATGACAACGATCAATGGAACTTGTTTTGGACTCAGCCTCGGCAACAATGCCAAGTCTATGCTTACTGTGGCTCCTTTGGGATATGCAGTTCCCAGTCTCAACCTTTTTGCCAATGCCCTCAAGGGTTTAGGCCCAATTCGCAAATAGATTGGGACTTGAAGGATGACTCATCGGGATGCGTCAGAAACAATGAGATCCAATGCTCTCGTGGAGACATTAGCCAGGCTCTGCTTCTTTCCAACGTGAAATTACCTGACAATTCAGAGGTATTAGGGAACACGAGTCTTAGTAATTGCGGATCAGCTTGTCTAGGGAACTGTTCTTGTCAGGCTTATGCACATGATGCAAGCTCGAATCGATGCTTGACGTGGATGTTGAACGTGGATTCGCACGGGTCAAACAAGTCAATTTATGTTGGAGAGTTCGGAGATTTTCTGTTAAATTAAGCTTAGGTCGGCAACGAAATAAGAACAAAGTTTAAAACATGGTGAGGTGAGTTTGACGAGGTGGCGAGATGAGTTTGACGAGGTGACGAAGTGACGAGGTGAGGTGAGCTTGATGAAGTGACGAGGTGAGGTGAGCTTGACGAAGTGATGAGGTGAGGTGGGCTTGACGAGGTGACGAGGTGAGGTGGGCTTGACGAGGTGGCAGAGAATTTGGCGAGGTGATGGTGAATTTGGCGAGGTGATGGTGATTTTGGCGAGGTGGGAGTGATTTTGGCGAGGTGATGGTGATTTTGGCGAGGTAATGGTGAATTTGGCGAGGTGATGGTGATTTTGGCGAGGTGGGAGTGATTTTGGCGAGGTGATGGTGATTTTGGCGAGCTGGGTGTTCTCATCCCTTCACAAGCTATTTCTCTTCTCCCTTTTCCGAGATCCCCTTTCTTGGTCTCCTCTTCTCTTCTATTTATAGTGAGCGAGTAGGTGACGTGATGACGGTGGAATGATTTTGTGGACCTTGCTAATGGGCCAAAATTGTAATGCTGGTGGATTTCGATGGGCTTGTTGGGCTAAATAGGGGGTGCTAAACCCACCTCCAACAGTGGAGTAAAGATATCTTGAATCTTCAACAACTAGAAGAAGATAACAGCGAGGGGAATACGTTATATCTTAGGCTCTCTGCTTCGGACATGTCTAGTGTTTCTTCCGGTAAAAGTAACAAAGTGATTATACTTGGCACAGTTCTAGGCTCTTTAGGGGTCATAGCTCTCGCTATGTTGGCTGTAATCTTAACAGTAAGGTATCTGAGGAGGAAGAGAATGGGAGGAGAGAAGAGTGATGGAACATTGGCTGCTTTTAGCTATAGAAAATTACAGAACGCGACTAAGAATTTCTCGGAGAAGCTAGGAAGAGGAGGTTTTGGTTCGGTGTTCAAAGGGGTTTTACATGATTCTAGTGACATCGCAGTGAAGAGGCTTGAGGATATCAGCCAAGGAGAGAAGCAGTTTAGGATGGAAGTAGTGACCATAGGAATGATCCAACACATGAATATAGTGAGGCTTCGTGGTTTTTGCTCCGAAGGAAACTAGAAGTTGCTGGTTTATGATTACATGCCTAACGGTTCTTTGGATTCCCATCTCTTCATCAATCAAACCGAAGAGAAGATCGTTCTTGGGTGTAAACTGCGTTACCAAATCGCGTTAGGGACGGCTAGAGGATTGGCTTATTTACACAACGAATGTAGAGACTGTATCATTCACTGCGATATAAAACCGGAAAACATCTTGTTAGATCCACAGTTTGGTCCCAAAGTTGCTGATTTCGGTTTGGCTAGGCTAGTGGGACGAGATTTTAGCAGGGTTTTGACAACAATGAGAGGCACAAGAGGCTATCTTGCACCAGAATGGATCTCAGGAGTAGCGGCGATAACAGCGAAAGCCGATGTTTACAGCTACGGAATGATGCTGTTCGAGCTTGTTTCAGGGAGAAGAAACACTGAGCAATTAGAAAATGGGAAAGTCAGATACTTTCCGAGTTTGGCCGCAGCGGTACTCACCGCAGATGGAGACATCCGATCGCTACTTGACCCAAGACTAGATGGTGAGCCCGTGGACATAGAGGAGCTCACAAGAGCTTGTAAAGTTGCGTGTTGGTGCATACAGGACGAGGAGAGTCATAGACCAGCTATGAGTCAATTTGTGCAGATTCTTGAAGGTGTTTTGGAAGTGAGTCAGCCTCCGTTTCCAAGATCGATCCAAGCTTAAGTTGAAAACGATGGATCTGTGGTCTTCTTCACTGAGTCGTCATCTTCGTCGAGCCATAATTCTTCACAGAAACAGAGCCACTCTTCTTCCAAGAAAACGACCATCAAGCTCCTATTAGGCTAACAACCTAACTTGAGCCTTGAATTCAATGTGAATGAGTCCTACATCACGTATTCAGTACGTAACCAAAACCGGTTTCGTCTGGTTATGGTAACTGGACAGTTAAGGGCGTACAATTGGGTTGACAAGTACAGGACGTGGGATTCGCCATGGTCTGCACCTAGCTAGATATGTAAGGTTGATGGTTTATGTGGGTCGTTTGGGATCTGCAACGAGCATTTGAATTCGTCCTGCGAATGTATTAAAATTTCTCGGACGATCAGACTTGAATGATCATTCATCTGGTATATGTGTAAGCGACAGCTATTTAACCAAATGTGGCAAAGGAAGTGACAAGTTTCTTCCTCTTCCGAACATGAAACTAGCCACTGATCCTCAAGAAAGGGCTCTTGCAGATGAAGTGACATGTGACTTAGCTTGCCTAGCTGAGTGTAATTGCAAGGCCTATGCGTATGATGGGAACAAGTGCTTGATTTGGGAAGGATATATCTTCAATCTGCAACAACTTGATGCAAGTAACAGCGAGGGAAGGACGTTTTATGTCAGACGTACTCCTAATTACATCTCACAAGAAGCTTTAAACAAGGATAAGATTTCTGCAATCGTGATTTCGAGGAATAGATCAAGATCAAAACATCGTAAAGTCAGAAACATCGTGCTAGCCGTTTTACTACCATCAGTAGCAGCAGCTGCGATTTTCATTATTTTGTTGTATTGGTACTGTTCATCGCCACAGAGAAGCAAAAGAGTACACCAAGGTGAGATTAGTATATATATATTTTTTTTTTCATGAGGTTTTTACGAGATTAGTTACTAGGTTTTTTGAAGACTTTTATTTTGGCAGACAAAAAACAGAGCAATGAGATACTTGAAGAAGGAATAATTGATGATGGAGAGCATATGTTTAACCTTAATTTATATGACATAATGGCTGCAACAAACGCTTTTTCTGAGGAAAACAAGTTAGGAGAAGGTAGTTTTGGTCCGGTCTACAAGGTAATAAACAATATAACATCTAAATATCAGTAAAATCCCCCATTTCACTAGTCTATCATACTTTAGAGTTTAGACCCATTTGAAAATCTGGTGAGTGGTCGCTACTTTCGACTTGAGGAATTTATCAGGTGGTAAAAATCTAAATTACGCCTTATTTTTTTTTTATAAAAAAGATTTAATAGCTATGGTTTTTTTTTTCTTTTCTTTTTAAACCGTTAGGGAAGTCTACCAAATGGCACTGATGTTGCGATCAAAAGGTTGTCAAAAAAGTCAAGTCAGGATTTGATAGAGTTCAGGAACGAAGTTGTTATGATCATAAAACTTCAACACAAGAACCTTGTGAGGCTTTTAGGATATTGCGTGGAAGGAGACGAGAAACTCCTTATCTATGAGTACATGTCCAATACTAGCCTTGATGCTTTATTCTTTGGTAAGAGCATCTGCAACTCCAGTCCAAATTTCACTCTAAAATAGAGTTTGGAGTAAAATTTTATTCAATTTTACTTTATATTTTATTTTAAAATAGAGTAAAAATGGAGCTACTTCAAATATAGATAAACAAATATAGTTATTCTATTTTTTTAGTCATGACTCTATTTTGGAATAAAAAATATAGAATAATATAGGAGTAAAATAGAACTCCATTTTGAAATTACTTTAAATTAGAGTAAAATATGGAGTTACATATTCTAGATATCCTGAGTGATGAGATATTTATTTTAAAAATTGTTAAATTTTGAATTTGAAACCTTCAATATATACTATTGAATATCCTCATCAAAGTTTTCTTTCTTTTTATATAATATAGATCCACTTAAAAGCAAAGAATTAGATTGGGAGAAACGTATGAAAATAGTAATTGGGACGACAAAGTAATTGGGACGACAAAAGGACTTCAATATCTGCATGAAGACTCGCGTCTCAAGATCATCCATCGAGATCTTAAGGCAAGCAACATTCTTCTTGACGATGAGATGAATCCCAAGATTTCGGATTTTGGGACGGCAAGGATCTTTGGTTGCAAACAGATCGATGACAGCACAGAAAGAATTGTCGGAACATTGTAAGCATAAAGTATATATACATATTTCAATCTAAATACTTTTGGCTGTTTCAAACGCTAAAAATTTTCTGTTTATGCATGCATTTACATGTTAAAATGCCGTATCTACATTCAAAATATATCATTTTTATCTTTGTTTTATCAAACATCATTTGCAATTGTAAGCATGTAACCGTATTTTTGTGTTCCATTTGCCTTTACAATTTTCATATGATGTCAGAATATAAGAAACTAAAATAATGTGTTTTTCAAATGTTAAAAGAATGTTTTAACATTTGAACCAAGTCAAAACAAAATTTAAACAATTGTGGCCTCTTCCTATAATTTACTTCTGTTACACTGGTTGAATTCAACGGCTATATGTCACCGGAATATGCACTACGCGGAATGATTTCGGAGAAATCAGATATATTTAGCTTTGGAGTATTGTAAATAGAGATCGTATCAGGCAAAAAGGCGACGAGGTTTGTTCATAACGACCAAAAATACAGCATAATTGCTTATGTAAGTGTGTTTTTAGCTCGATCTATTATTGTAATGAAGTAGTCATGAAACTAAGTTAAGTTAAAGCTAAAATATATGTTGTTAATCAATTTCAGGCATGGGAATCTTGGTGTGAGACAAAAGGTATAACCATTATAGATGAAGCATTAGGTGATTCGTATTCTCCAAAAGAAGTGATGCGGTGCGTTCACGTCGCACTTCTTTGCGTTCAAGATCATCCAAAAGACAGGCCAACAATATCGCAAGTTGTTTATATGTTGGGCAACGATCACGATCTCCCGATTCCAATTCAGCCAACGTTCACAAACGTGTTGAACAGAAATCAACGGTTAGTGCCGTCTGACAATGTGTTCTCTATTAACGAAGCAACGCAATCAACAAGGGCGTCTCAAACATTATAAAAACTTTGTTCGAAAATAAAATTTAGGCCTTTAATCTATAAAAAATTATCGATAATTTTATATTAGAGAACTATAAATCTATTTTAAAGAAATTGTGTGCAACAGTTGTCTAGAATTGGTGAAGAAAATGTTTGCTTCTCTTAATATTTATAACAAAACTAATTAATAACAAAATCCTTAAATATATTCCAGTTTCCCAAGTTAATTATAAACGTTAGTGTTGTCTTAAGTCTTAACGTCTACTTTCCAAGTTCTTAATATATTTGTTTTTCATTTTGTTATGTTAACATAAGAAAACATATTTTGTAAATCATATCGATATCCTCTTTATTCTGATTTTTTTTATCTAAACCTATTATTAAAAGAAAAAAAATTATGGACCCTTTAAAATCATGAACCCTGTTCGACTGCTCCACTCGCTCGTGCTAAAAGACGGCCCTGACAATCAACAATGGAAGGACGATGAACTAGGCATGGACAATACTTTGGTAAATGCTAATAATGAAAAAATGAATGATTACTGTTATGAGATCGATTTAAACGGAAAGTTAATCTTTATGTATATTTCCTCATTGCTAAATAAGTAGATTTTCTATTCTCATATCTGTAAAGTTAGACAAGTTAAGTTTGGAAAAATAAGTGTATTGGCTAATCAATAAAGATGAGAGAAACTATTCTAAGGTTTCCTTCAAATTTATCATGATATCAGAACCATAGTTAAATTATACAAATTTTTGGTTTTTGTTCAATATTTGAATTGCTTCTTATTATTTTTTATTATGATTTTTTTTTAAAAAAACTTACCTATTATTCTATTACAAAATAAGAAAACTATTACATCAACAATTCTATAACGGACAAGTTTTCCGTCCGCAAACAGACCAAACGGATCTCCATGTACCAAGTTGAAAATTTCCTGTAAACTTATCTCCATTTATCTGCAAATTAATAATAAATCGTATTTTCCGAGATTTGAACCCCAAATTTAATGATGTCCAAACATTAATAAACCTATTCACCATTAGACTAAGGGACTTCCAAAACCGCTTCTTATCATGATTTCTTATTTTATGATCATTTAAAAAAAATCGACTTCTCCCTTTAACATTTTCTTCTACCTTATTCAGTAACTTCTTCTACTTCTATTTTCTAATTCTATTTTATTCTTCTTTTAATTACCGAGTTGATTTTCCCAAAAGGAAAAAAAGAACTTTAAAACGTTTGGTGATTATGGCGACTAGGAGCATGAACCTAATGGGTTCGTTAACATTTCATCCTCCTAATTTTTATCGGTTTTCATGTGGTTATTCATCAGCTACAACTTTGATGTGGCTACGAAGATGATGCTCCAATGAATATATACTCATCCGGTGGTTTATGATTATATCTATGACATTTTTTTTTTACTTAAGACACAAGTTTCTTCATGGACAAGAAGTTCGAAGAGCAATCCAAACTTGTGACTTTAGTTCGAATTGACTTGAGGATTTCAAGTTCTTTATCTACCTCAACGATCCAGCGATATACAGTGTTATGGATTTTAACGATTGTCCAATCTCATACGTGATTGCGGGAGAGTGTTAAGAGATCTCAGAGATTATGAGATCGACTTAAATGGAAAATTAATATTTATATATATATTTCCTCATCGCTAAATACGTAGATTTCCTATTCTCATATGTCTAAAGAACTTGTTAGAGAAGTTAGGATTTTGTTTAAATATGTGTATTGGCTAATCAATAAAGACGAGAGAAACTATTCTACTTCTAAAGAGTTTTGTGTTTCTTTGAGGTTCAATTCTTCTAGTAGTTGTAGTACAAGAGGTATCAATCCTATTCTCATATCTCTAAAGAACGTGTTAGACAAGTTATGATTTTGTTTAAATATGTGTATTGGCTAATCAATAAAGATGAGAGAAAATATTCTACTTCTAATGAGTTTTGTGTCTCTTTGAGGTCAATTCCTCTAGTAGTTGTAGTACAAGAGGTATCAATCCATATGTGTGATGTTTTAGACACTAATTTATGTGAATGCAAACTCAATCCAAGTCTAACAATGATCAGGTTTAGTAACAAGTGACATCAAAGCAATATAAAATAAGATTAAGATCTAAACAAGCAATAAACAAAAGCAAATGATGATGATGATTCAAAATGCCTTTGGTGCTAGACTAAGATGCTAATGACAATATGATGAATGATTCCAATAAACTTAGGATTTAAAACAAGTTCAATTCTTTCTCAAGACAATTGATATGATCTTGGAAAGCATAGGCAACAAAGAGCTTGAACCAGAAGGAGAGCCGCAAGGAGTTAAGAAGTTAAGGAGCAAAGACAAGAAACAAGGAGTGGAACAAGAAGACCTTTTTCTCATTTTCAAATGGTCCCATGACCCGAGCAAAGACCAAGAGGCTCAAGGAAGCTGTTGGAGATATACTTAAACAAGGAATGCTTATGGAACAAAAGGGAAAAGAGTTGGGTACAACTACACTAGTTGTGATCCAAGTTCAAGATGGCTAATGGGCTTGTGATCCAACTATGTACTCTTTTTTCCTATCTTAAGTTCTGTCCCAATGGGTTTTCTTGAGATAGGTTTTTAATGAGGCATATTCTGGATCACCCACATCTGAGCCCATTCAGCCGAGCCCAAGAGATGAAGAAGAGGAGCGTATGAGGAGTGTTTGAATTCAAACTTAGCCAGCTTTCAAAGTGCTAGTTCCTAGATGATTTAATACTTTGTAGACTCGTCATTCTTCTCCTTTATATTCTCTTGTATCTCTTCTTCAGAAACTATTTAACTTTTTATCAAAAATCTTTTCTAAGTAAGATCAAACCCTTTCTTGTTGGTGTGTCATATCCTTCAAGACTTTCAATCCTTCTCTGGTGCGTAATATCCATAGGAGTTTCGGAAACAATTCATCAAGGGCCTTCCGCAAGCCTTGAAGTCTTACCAAGTCTACAAACCTTGAAACAATCCACCTGTTTGCAAGGCTATCCCCTTTAGATCCAGTTTAGTGAGTGTCTATTTCAGGGAGAATCATATTAAGAGGTATCAGAGCAACAATTCAATCCACTGGATCATCGAACACATCAGGTTATATCTTATCTTTCGTGTTTGTCGATCATTGCTGTTGTTTTAGCAGTTGATTCATCATAATCATTCAAGTTGGATATACTACTTGTGTTTCACTGCATCATATCGATTTAGAGTCACTGTTTCAAAGGATTATCTGTGATCTAGTTTTTGTTTAACATCAATTCAGGATAGATCTAAATAACTTTTCAACTTCTATTATTGGATCTGAGATTTGCAAATTTGACTCTTCGCATTCAAGCTATTGATCATTATTTCGTGTGGAACACGAAAAGTCACCTTTGTTTTGTGAAAACTGTTGGGGTCGGTTTTCACCCCACGCAGATAAAACCATCTCAAAATGACTAAGTATGGAAAGTGGGAGAGCCGTGGTCACCAAATGGGAGAGCCGTTCTCACCAAGACAAGCGGGAGAGCCGTGGTCACCAAATGGGAGAGCCGTTCTCACCAAGACAAGCGGGAGAGCCGCGATCACCAAGTGGGAGAGCCGTGAAGAAAGACCAGTAGAGAGAGCCGTGAAGAAAGAGAGATGGGCCGAGCCGTATCATAAAAAATGGGCCGAGCCCCTCTCTAACATACCTGGGCTGAGCCGCGCCTCGGTGAGGTGGACCGAATCATGTCTCGACTAAAGTAGCAAGTGGGCCGAGCTGTGGAGAAGTTAGACGGGCCGAGCCGTGGAAAATTTCAGATGGGCTGAACTAAAGCTTTGAGAGACGAAGCCCACAAAAACCCTAGGCAAAATACAAAGGCGGTGAGCCGCACGAGGCGATAAGGAAACATTCCGAAAATCTCTCCCGAGATTCTCGGCTAGGCGGTTCGGAGGATTAGTATAAATAGATGATGTATACAATTCATTCTGTAACTTTTGCAACCCTAAGCAATAAGAGCTAAACACATTTACAGCAAGAAAAACTTTCTTTCGATCTTACTGTTCTTGGCGATAAACCCTAGAAGTTTCCGATCCCTTAGTTTTCCTTAAACAAATTTCTGGTTGTGCGAGTTTTGGCTCACACAATTTGGCGCTGTCTGTGGGGAATCAAAACTTTCTTACTCTAAATCGACAAGACTTTAAGATCCGAAGAGCATGGCGAGCAACACCCCCGACGACAACAACAACAACAACACCGGTAACGGCGCGGAGAAGGACGCTCCGGCATCAGACACAACGACGG